ACGCCTTTCTTACACACAGAGCAATTACCCGAGAACAGTTGAAATGCTAGTAATTATAAGGCTGTTTGGGGGGACAAGCAAAATATTTCTCAAGCCCCCACTCTGCTGGCTGTGAGTCACATCCATGGGCATTATCACACCTTGGACTCTAGAGCTGGGCTTTTCTGAGTTGTTAACCACAGGGACCCTCCCCAGGCGCCAGAGCTCCGGGGGAGAAGGGGACACAGAGTACATCTCTCCGGGGCCATGCACTGCCACTGGGAGGGAGGTGGCCATGAGCCAGAGGTCCCTGATGGGGGCGGAGGAGGCCGGCCTCCCGTGCTCAGATCTCATCTCCCACCCACCCTCCCCCCAAATCCAAGCCTGGGGGTGGGTCAGTGGAAACAGAGCCTCTTCCTTTCCCTCCCCACCAAACACCTACCTCCTCACCCTTGTCTCTGCTAAAAACACCGTGGGAAGGTAAGATTTCTCCATGAAATCTTGCTATAAAATGGTCTGTTTCCTCTGCTTGTTATCAGGGTTGTCTGATCAAAGAAATGGTGCCCAGACCTGGTTATCTAATAACTACATAAACAACCAGGCCGGCTTCCCGGGTTGGGAAGGGTGGGTGGGGGCAGCTCTGGATGAAATGAGGGACGGCCAGAGTGGCCAGACCCCTCTTGATTCAGGCCTATAGCGTGTCACCCTGGCCAGATCCTCACCATCACCCGCATGTTCCGGGGGAGAAACTGAGGCAGGGAACCCATGTTCCCGCCCTTCAGGGAAGCCCATGGCCATTAGGTAAGTGATGCTCATTTGTCCCCTCTGGTGATTGCCACGGTGTCAGCCTTACTTCCCAGGCCCACGCTCAGCACGTGCCTTGTGTGATGGAGGCTCACTACGGACTTGCTGAATGAATGAATGAGCAGATCAACTATACAGGATGAGCACTGGGTTTGCCTTAGAAAATGTGGTCACGCATCTTAATGCTACCGCTTAGCCCCTCACTGGGGCTGTGGGGCTAGGGTGAGGGTAGGGAGACACCCAGGGCTCCGCACTAGGGGGTCACTCACTCTCCGACCTCCACCCTGCACCTCGACAAGCTTGGGAGCGAGCTTCCCCCCACGTGTTGAATCTGGGACTTAAAGTCTGGCTGCTTAGCCTGACTCTAAACTGCTTTGGTCCCAAATGGCTTCTTGTCCACCCGCCTCTGGGGGAGGCAAATTGTGAAAATGCCTTGGGTGTCCCAGAAATTCCGCCCCCGCCAGTCCTCACACCTGCCTCAGTCTTCATGCTCTATCAGGCTGTGGTAGGAGCTGGGAGGCACTGGAGGGCTTAACCCAGCACCTGGCACAGAGGTGTTCAGTGGACATGTGGGTGGTGGGTGGGTGGGTTTGTGGGTAACTGGTTAGATGGATGGATGCGTGGATGGATGGATGAGCAGGTGGGTGGGAAGCTGGATGGAGGAATGGAAGGATGGAGGGATGGATGGATAGATGGATGGGCAGAGGACTGGGTGGATGGATGGACAGATGGATGGTTGGATGGATGGATGGATGGATGGATGGATGACACAGTGGGCAGGTGGTTGGATGGGTAGAATGACTAACATCGCAGTTGTCACAGTTGTTCTGGGTGGTGCCTAAGCTGAATGGTTTGTTCCTTCTATCGTTACATTTATTTATTTATTAGTAATAATCATTAATGCATGAACTCACCCTTGGATTACAAATTCCTAAACTGTGGAGATACTTCATAGTCCCTACACTGAAGGGTCACTCTTCCACTAGGTGGGACCCGGTGTTCCCCTAGGAGTAGCCACAGAGCCTGACTTAATGGATAAGTGCTTTGCTGAGTGAAGAGCAGATTTTGATTTGTTAGGTTACCAGGCTTGCTTGTCTGGGAGACTTGGGGGTGGTCATCCCCTCTGATGCCAAGGGTCATCCCCTCTCATGCTTGGTGGTGGGATGACTGGATGAGCCACCCAGTCCAGATGCCAGTAACTTTGTCTATAGAACACCCTGTCCATCGATGGACAGGTTGGAGCTACTTAGACACACCGGGGTTCACAGGCAGATTGTAGAGAGAATGGTTTGGTTCGTCCCGTTTTACCTGAGAAGCATGGGCGACGCCTCTGAGCCTCTGGCGCATCAAAAGTGAGAATCCTTAGAGGGTTTGCGGGGAAGATCCTGGGAGGTGACGCAGTGAAACTCTTAGTGTGGGACCTGGCAGGTGGTATGTCCTTGGTAAGATGGAAGCCGTCCCCATCTGTGGATGTGTCCCCCAAACACAGAGATGCTTCACGCCGGGCTCAGGCCTGCAGGCTGTCGGAGCTGGAGAGCCTCGAGGTCATCCAGCTCACTGCTTTTTAAATGGTGCTTTGGAGGCCTCCTCAGGAGGAGGAGACAGGAATGGAGGCAGCGCTCCCTCCTCCCAGGCAGCCTCAGCTGCAGCAGGGTCCTCTTTGTGGGGAGAGCAGTGGCTGTCTCCTAGGTGTTCCTGTTGGAGCAATGAATGAGAC